GCAGATGTTGATCAGTATTCGTATCCAGGTAGCTGAGAGCTGGTGGTCTGTTGCTCATCCCACTATTGGAGGTAACTATCAAATGAAATTTGGTGCGGAGCCGTAGCTGAGAGACCTCTTAGTCCTGGAGGCAGAAGGAGTTACCAGAAGTAATGAGAGGGGAAACTGAGTCACAAGAGAGGAACACCAACTTTCTGCTGTAGTCTTTGGACAGCTATAAAGGTGCTTTTTTCTTTGCTGAAATTGCTGTTTGCCACAGAAACAGAATTTCAGTCTCACGGATACCAGCCCCACGGCCTTTACTTATAAAGGTGTTAGTGCTCTGAGATTGTAAGGTCTGCTGTGGGACATGGCAGGCTCCCACCTCCTTCCATATCAGCTTTCATGGTTGAAGGCGAGTGCTCTTGGTGGAAAATTTGAAAGAACAGAATAGCATATATCAGTTGGAAGGGACCTGCAAGATCATCTAGTCCAACCGCCTGACCACTTCAGGGCTGACCAAAAGTTAAAGCATGCTATTAAGGGCATTGTCCAAACGCCTCTTAAACACTGACAGGCTTGGGGCATTGGTCACCCCGCTAGGAAGCCTGTTCCAGTGTTTGACTGCCCTCTTGGTAAATAAATGCTTCCCAATGTTCAGTCTAAACCTCCTCTGGCTCATCCTGTCACTGGGTACCTGGGAGAAGAGCTCAGCACCTCCCTCCCCACATCCCCTCCTCAGGAAGCTGTAGGGAGCAATGAGGCTGTCCCTCAGCCTCCTCCTCTCCACACTAGACAAGCCCAGAGTCCTTAGCCGCTCCTGACAGGTCATGCCTTCCCACCTTCTGGGAACAAGCGCTGGGAGCCCTCCTTGGCATTGCTCCACACTCGGCCTGTTCTGGTTTCTGGTGCAAGTGCCACCCGAGGTCTGACTGCTTCCGCTGCGAGGGACTTCCCTGTGTGAGAAACGGCGCCCAGGAACATCTGTTTTTGATGTGGTATTTGAATGACAGTCTCTCTTTCTTAAATATTGACTTAAAATTTGCAAGTCATTGCAGACTTGGTGAAGCCTAAATATATTGCAGTCTATTAAGGGATCTGATTTTTTTTCTTTCAAAATACGTACACTGAACACGCTGATTTTTAAAGACAAACTTACAAAGTTTACTATCCAAACTGCATGCTGCCCTGCTACAAATCAGTTTTTTTAACAGCAGTAATCTCTTAGGCTTGGAATATTTTCTGGGCTTCCTCAGGTAGATTGGTTCGATGACTAACTCGTTATAAGCAGACAATTAAACGGGGAACTTGCAAAGTTGGAAAGCTATCTTTCCTCTTCCAGTCTCTAAGTACGAATAAGAGCTGCCTGTTCCTCCTAACAGTTTGACGGGAAGCGGACTGGGTCAGGAAGCAGACAGGGGAAGCGAAGGCCAGCCTTTTGACCAGAACGGGTCACCCGCCTTTCATAAAAGCATCTGGGTGCCCCTGGGCCTCTCTCCCAGCATGTGCTGTACGTTGGGTATGCATGGGAAACGCGGGGCAACCGACGGAAAGGAGGCAATCTGTAGACCACCACCGAGGTCCATGCTGCCCACTGCTGCCTCTCTGCCCTCGCCCGAAGGAAAGAAGGTGGCGAGCGCTGAGTCAGGTGAGGTGTCGGGCAGCTGGAAGGCAATGGGAGACCCTAACCTCTGGGGTAGGTAACTTCAAGAGCTGCTTTCTGTCCCTGTGTTTCTGTGATGGCTGCGGAGCCTGGAAGGGAGCAGTTTGAGCCATTAACTGGGGGTTATACTGTGTTCGAGAAATCAACTTTATAGGGGGGAAAAACAGCTCTGCATTTTGATCATCTTTGTGTCATCTCCAGTACGTCAGGGCAGTTGTTCAGTTATTCAGATTCATAATTTCATAATGCAATACGCATGAACATAATAGCTTGTGCATTTCATGTTTAATAGGTTATTTTTTTCCAACTGGAATTTTTAAGTACCTTTGGAACGAGATTTTTATATTCTGTATTTTAAAAGCACATAGTTGTTCAGTTTCTTAAATAATTTTATGTTAAACTAAGTAACATGTACCCAGTGCTCACAATGTTGCATCTGGAATACAGTGTTCAGCGTGGGGCCCGGTACAAACAAGGGACTGGCAAACTGGAGCAAGTCCAGCAAAGGCCACTGCTGTGGCTGGGAACAGGTCAGGAGAGGCTGAGTGAACTGGGTCTGTGTCCTGTGAGAAAAAAGGACTGTGGGGGATTGAATTTCGGTCCTCTCTTCCCTGAGGCGGGGTTGGAAAGAAGGTGGAGCCCGGGAAAAAAGGGAAAAAAAGCTCCTGCTGGTGTGGGTGGTTAAGCACAGGAGCAGGCTGCCCTGGGGGGTAGCAAAATCTCCACCTGCGAGGGGGACGGGGGGACTGTTCAGGATTTGGGTGGAAAAGGCCCTGAGCAACCTGATCTAATTTTGAAGACACCTGACCTGAGTGTGTGAGAGAACATTCAGAGGTCCCTTTCAGCTTAATTAGGGCTGTGATTTCCACGATCAGTGTTTGAGTGCACCTGTATAGCTGTGTGGTGTGTAACACAGCAGCAGAATCGGTGGGGAAACCACTTGAGCTACGAAGGAAAACTGTGCCATGTGCCGCTAGCCGAATTAAATCATCTGGCTTAATCTTGATTTGAACATCTTCGACTTGAGGTAGTTCCCCTGCCTCTCAATAGAAGAGTGAAAAACTTCTCATTAAAATATGGTGCTGTTAAGAGACCATTCCACAAATGTGCCGTCTACTACATGAAACGGCAATTATTTTATCTTTATGGAGGGCATTACTGGAATGTACAATACACAAGCTCTCTTTGCTGTGGCGATGTTTTTCTAAGCATCTGAAAAGTAGGGAAAAAATCTGTGGAACTTCAAGATGAATTAACGCAATGTATAAGGCAACCCCTAAGGCATTCTTAAGTGAGAAAGTGTATCTTTATTCTTGTGAATAACTGCACTGTTCAGATGGGAACAAGCAGGTCAGTGGCTAGGACTCTAACACTGGGTCTGTGTCCTCCTTCTTCGACACAATTCGTGTGTAATTCGAAGCATGTCACTGGGAGAGGGATCAAAACAGAAAACAAGCCGAAAACTTCCCTAGCTCAGCTCTGCGTGTTGTTAGTATTTGCTTGTGAGGAAGAAATGGATTTTTGAAATCATTGTTGAAGTTAACTTCCACAGGTGTTTAAAAACTTGCCTCATAAGTTTAAATTAAAAAAAAATACTCTGAAAGCCTTAGCTACTGCCTTAAAGATGTGTTTGGAAGAGGTGTGAGACTAACTTTCAGAGGTTTGCTGGTTATTGCACGATTCATACTTGAAAATCTATGTTACAGTGATGATTCAACTTTAAAAGAATATTCAGCTATAAAAGAATATTTCTTCAAACCATAATTTTCCCTCATCTTGGCTGACCGTTTTGGTGTGGCAAGATGCATTCCAGACATTTGTAAATAGGAACACGCCTTTGAGTTCTGCAGATATAACTTGTGGAGAGAGGCTTTGGAGGGGACACTGCATAGTGAAAGCACATAGTGGAATATTTTGTGTGTTGTAGACAGATGTTGTGTATATATTATATGAATCGAGCCTTGGCTCTGAAGCGACTTGATTTTTGTCTAGGACTTGATTAAGAATTACCAAAGCTTAAGATGATTTAAAAGGGAGTTTTGTATGCTTAGAAAATGCAAGTTGTTATGAATTGTCACATCATATGAGGATCTCATGCTACCAGAGCTGTTATCCTTCCTGGCACCGCTGTCCTGATGATTTGCCCTTGCGTACCTGATGTCAGGCAGGTAAATGGCCCTGTACCTCCTAGGGTTGGATCCTTTTTTCATCCTTCCTTCCATTCACTGCCACCTCTTCTGTCAGTGGCAATTGATTTGACCTCTGTATCCCGATTAATTGAATTTATTATTTCTCCACTGTACCTTGAATTTCTCTGTCTCCTTCAACTTACTCTTTTCATACCTCACCTATTGAGGCTTTCCAAGGGTTTGAGCTGTTTTGCACGCTGTTGCAAGCAGAAACTGTAGCTCCTTGAGATTAACACCTACGGGCTACTCCAAGTGGGACAGAAAATTTGGCATTGGCTCTTCCACTGTCTTGTGTGGCTTTTGGAAACTTACTTTTCCTCCTCAGCCTTCTTCTGAAATATTTCTTTTCGATATGCTGTCTCTTGAGTTAGAGTGAAAATGGGTTTGAGGCAGAGCATGCTTGTTGCTTGGCGCAACAGGTCCAGTTTGTTCTTCCAGATGTTACTGGAATATCACTGTAAAGTACTGTTATGGGGAAGGAAGGAAAATTTCTCTTGTGGGTTCTGGGCTTTGCTTTCTCCCAGTGTGTATTCAGGATCAAAGTATGGGAATGCTTTGTAGCTTTATTCTTTCCCTTAAAACATGAGACTGATGGCATTTGAGAAAAGAGGCGGAAAGAGAAGGTGCTTGAGAGACAGCTCACCAGGACTTTGCTCTCCTCAGGACTCAAGCAGAGTTTTTAAGATGGCCAAAATAAAGGAAAGAAAAGAAGCAGCTGTGTATAAAGTGTGTAGTTAAAACTTGTGACTTCTGATTGCCAAATGGAGAAAAGCGTATTCAAAACTGATGAGCTGCTTAGAATTTTTCTCCCCCTCCCCTTCATGAAGAATTTGAAACAGAATATATACTCCAAACAGGCACTGAAATAACATATTTTAGTAATTTGCTTGTGATTGTCACAGTGGGAGCTACAGAGTACCAGATAGTTTGAAAACTTCATCTTTCTTCAGCTGGCTTATTGAGATCATTACAGGAATTGGCTCCAATACTGAGGGCTGTGTACATAAGAATTTGGACTAGATCTATTCTGAAGCAAGAAGGCAGGCGCATTTCCTTTCTTCCATAATGGTATTAGCTAATAGGTATGAGCTTGGCCAAACTGAAAAGGAGTGTCTTGATATTTGGAAATTATGTTCATCTATAAAACATGTTCCCTTCATTTTTGCAGGGCTTTTCAGTCTGCTAAAGGCACGGTGGATACACTAGGATGGACACAGAGGAATTCCCTCCCCCACCACCAGAAGGTAATTGAAATAGTTTGGGGTTTAAAGCCAACTCTGTTGTAACAATTTGATTTCCAAAAGTGTTTTTACCTCCCCAACACTCCCTTTCCCCATATTACCTTAGCACTTGTCTCAGTGGTATTTTGCTGAAACGTGAGCTCCTGTCATCTACCATGTCTTCTTCTTGGACCTTGCTTGCTGGTGTTGTGAGAGCGTGACGGGAAGAAACCTGGGGAACCATTGGTCCTTAAAGTCCAAATCTGCAAATACGTGTCTTCTAAGGCAACATTGGGTGGACCGTATCATCACACCTTCATCATCTGCTTTGGCAGCCTCAAGTGTTCATGCACATGGTGCCCTGTAGAGAAAAAACAAGTGAAGTCTGTGGCGCGGCCAGGATATTTGGACCAGTGTCTCAAATGCCTGGATGGATTTGTAGTCTGAATTGAGAGGACAGAGAGGGGCGAGTTGTTTTCTACTAGGGCACATGCTGCTTCCACCAAGCATACTTAATCTGGGCAATGTCTGCTGAAGGCTATACCTGAAGGACCACCTTCTGATGCTGCAGTTCTCTAGCCAGCATGCGTTCCCATGGGAAGCAGAGGGGAAGCATGCACAGCTGAACCTCTGTGTGGTCAGAGCACAGAGATTTATGGAAGAGTATTATGTATGCTGGGCTATGGAGCTGGGTCTGTAAAGTTAGTGCCCAGTGCCCCTTGCCTGCTGTATACTGGAAGCCGAATGGCTGCTTGTGTAGCCCAGGTTTCAGAGGGCATAAAGATAGGATGTACAAAGACACTGTGTCATTCCCTTTTGCATTTATGTTCTCTCTAAGATAATATGGCTATTTTTTCTCCTGTTTTCTTGTTTGTTTTCCTGTAAATGCACCTTTGTGTAGTGCTTGATACTATGTATTTTAAGTCGTAAAGGGATTTGGCTTTTGATAGTTGGATGCTGGGAGATGTCTTAGGAGAAGAACAGTATGCTTGTTCTGATCACCCCAAAGCAGAAGGTTATGGAGACATGGGTTCTAGAGACCTGTGGTTGAACCCAGTACAGCTGTTCCTATTTTGGTAGAGTTGCTAGTATAGTTTGGCTAGATAGTGACTGTCCCATAAATTTTTGCTCTGCCTCTCATATAGGACATTATTACTTATGGACTTATGCTCTGTTATATATATTGATATCTATATATATTAATGTATGTATATTAATAATATACATTATTGCTTATAGGATGTTTTACTTACTGTTCACACAGCACTTATACCGTATGAAGCCACTGAAGTATGAAAGAGGATTTGTCTTAGTTTTCATCTGTAACTCTTTAGGAATTTGGGAATTGCCATCCCAGATCAAAACTTGCTTTCTCTCTAACTTAGACGCTGCCACAGATAGAGGTCTGTTACTAGATACGACCTAGGAAACTGGGAATGTGAAAGAAGCAGAAAGTTGTGAAATCAGCATTTAATGGCTTAGATTTCTGGCTGGCATTGTCGACAGTTTTATTTATGCTTTGAGATATCACTGAGGTTATTGTTGGCAAAAAGGCTTTTCCTGTCCTTGTCCTAACCCATGTGGTCGGGTCCTTGAATTTAGCTCTGTTTTGTTTAGTGACAGTCACCGCGAAACTGTCCTTCTTGGATAATCTGTCCCCAGAGCAATGTAGTGCTGTGGGGAAGAGTCATCCCTAAGGAATCAGTATTTCTGCTTGAGCAGGGGCTGCTGTTTTTCAAAGATGGCTCATAATTGTGGCAACAGCTCCAACTTCGTGCAGCATGTCAGTGTGTGCGATACTCTGACAAAAATTCAGGGTGCTGTAGTTCAGGCTGGCTCCAGAATTCGGGTTCTTTCTCTGCAAAGCTCTTTGTGCCATGTAGAACTTAACTATGTGGATTGCATCCTTGTTTTCAGACATGTCACTCCTTAATAGGCTGGGATTAGACTTATTTAACATAAATTGAGATTCTGCTCTACCTGATCTTGTGTCGATGGATGCTTTCCCTGTCACCTCAAAAAGCTCTGCCTGAAACTATTGGAACTTGTACTTTTTTTTTTTACTTTACCATTGCTAAAGCTCTTTTAAAAAGTGTATTAATAAATAAATATCAGTAAAGATAAATTTTAGTGATTACACTAAAATGCACTTTAGCTCACTTTCTAGATAATTCTCATGAGCCATTTTGCAGGTGGAAAATGAGTGAGCATTTTAGGGCCAAGTACAACTGTAAATACACTTAACAATTAAAGGAAGGAAACATACAGGGCTTTTTTGTAGTGGCTGGGGGGTTTTTTTGGCATGCATATACACTGGCCACCCATGGTGTCTGCTCAGAAAGGATGAGCAGCACCTGCCAGTGCCATCAGCCGGCGAGCGCCTAGGTGGGTCACTGCGGCTGGCAGAGGGCCCAGGACCCTTTGATACATCAGAAAAAAAATATTTTTAGCTTTTGCATAATAATTAGAATCATAGAATCACAGAACGCTTTGGGTCAGAAGGGACCTTTAAAGGCCATCTAGTCCAACCCCCGTGCAGTGAGCAGGGACATCTTTAACTCGATCAGGTTGCTCAGAGCCCCGTCCAACCTGGATTGAATGTTTCCAGGGATGGGGCCTCCACTACCTCTCTGGGCAACCCGTTCCAGTGTTTCACTACCCTCATTGTAAAGAATTTCTTCCTTATATCCAGTCTAAACCTACCCTGGTTTAGTTTAAAACCATTACCCCTTGTCCTGTCACAGCTGTCCCTACTAAAAAGATTGTCCCCATCTTTCCTATAGGCCCCCTTTAGGTACTGAAAGGCCACAATCAGGTCTCCCCGCAGCCTTCTCTTCTCCAGGCTGAACAAGCCCAACTCTCTCAGCCTGTCCTCATAGGAGAGGTGCTCCAGCCCCCGGATCATTTTTGTGGCCCTCCTCTGGCCCCGCTCCAACAGTTCCATGTCCTTAATTCTAAAATCATGAACTGGAGCCACAGATGAAAGCACTTGCTTTTTTTTTTTTTTTTTTTTTTTTTCCCCAAAGTTCTTGTGACATCACGGGAATTTTTTCTTTTACCTATTTATTGTCCTAACAAATGTTGGTGTAGTATTGAAAGTCACATTGGTTTCTTTCCATTTACAGGTGTATAACTTGCACTGTAAATCCCAGTTTTATTCTTGTCAAGTAGGTTTTCTATGGTTTTGACAAGCAACTCCCACAAATTTATTAGTTTCAATCCTAAGATATACAAAGGGGAAAAATAATGGTAAACCTTCATCTTTGTCATGGGGATGTCGTGAGAATGTATATGAAAGGTATGCTATTAAATTCATGTTAAATGATGTCTGTTCAATAGCAATAACCATCTGAATCTACCTTGTTTAAGTTAATAGTAGACCTTCTTCTGTCACTTCTTGGTAGGGAAAAACTATATGCAATAAAAGAATGGAAGATAACATACTTTTATTTGTTTCATGTATTATGCAACATATCTGCTCATAGCTGTTTGGACATTCCGTTCATGCATTGTTAATTAGGCAGTGACAAGCCTGTGCTAGTTAATTCCCTTACCCCAGAGCAACTTCAGGTACTGAGGAACTTTAGAAAATTAATGCCTGTATGCTCCCCTCCTCCAGACTACTTTAAAAAGAGATTCTTCTTCTAGCCATGATTAAAAATTCCCTAGCATTTTTCTCTGTATACTTTGAATGAATGTACGTGTTAGCAGCCAGGGAGCGGTTGGAGGGAGAGAGAGGCAAAGGCTTCCTTGGCTAAGAGCATAATCCAAAAAACTGCTTCTGACACTTGAGATGATAGTACTAGCTCATGTTCCCTTCTTCAGTGTGTCTGTGCATATGAGTTTATGCATGAAGGGCTGCTATTTTAAGATTTCATACATAAAAAATTTCCGTGGCTATTTTGTAAAATAAAATAGAGGTTGATTCTTGTTCTCTCTATCAACAAAAAATATCCTTTTTCAAAAGCTAAATGAAAATGGCAAATTTTATCACAGCTGTAAGTTATAATTATGTTTTTAATTGGTTGTGGTAATGGAGTGTCCTTAACCAAACCCATTTAGACAAGAAAAGGATATGCTATGGACTGCAGACTATGCAGCGAAGAATTAAAAAGCTGATAATTCTGAGAATCGATGATCACATTGTGCTTCCCCTGTAAAGGAGTCATCTTCACGCTGTCCAGCTAGGACTGGAGATGGGATGTTTAATGCTGGGGCGGTGTTTACGTGTGATGGCCTGTGCTTGTGCTATTACTGCTTTATTAGGAGATGTGGTCTCTGGCTGTTTTTCATTACATTACTTGAAAAACACCTTATGATCTTGCAAGGTGGAAGTCCTTTTCTTTAAGTGAGGGTTTTGGGGTTGTTTATTGGGGCCTGTTTCAAAAGGAAAACCAGCTTTGTTTGCCCCGCAGGATGGATACCTGACAAACAGCTTCTTGCCCTAGGGAAGATTGGGTGTGTGTGTGCTCCCTGTATCAGATAGGCTTCTGGTTTTGCATTTTCATCTCTGAATGTCTCTCTCTCTCTCACTATTTCTGGTACATGGCACTACACCTCATATGATTTCTCTGTGAAAACTATTAGAAAATATTGGGTGTATTTCCTCATACCAAGTGTACTTGACAACAATACATCCCAGTTGTCCTGTGCTGAGTTGCCTTTTACAACAGTTATAAGACCTAAAATAAGCTTCAAGATCTGTTTTATAATTAATTGAGTCTATCAAGGTAGGTTAATATATAGTGATGAGATTTGGAGTATGGCTGCATCGCAGTACAGTTCTTGAATCGTCAACAGACGGTATATTTTGTTTTCCTATTAAAATTTTGAAGTGGAATACGGAAATTTCAGTGTTCATACAAGGACATTGTGAGGATGAACTTGATAGCATACTCTTCATATTACTGCCAAATACTCTCCTTATCTGCAAGAGAATCCCTTGTAAGTCTTCATTTGGGAAGCGTGAGGTGCCCTTAAAGACAAGTTGTAGTGGAGAGCTGGATATTCACTCACCTACATCG